TTAAACTTAAAACATAACTTTAGCTATCACACAAACTCCATCATCAGTCTTGGCAATGGACACCTTTGCCCACTGAGCCATCTCACAGGCCCCAGGAAAATGCAAATTTTTTAATGAGAGGAGAAAATGAAGTCTGAGTGGGATCCATGGGCCGGTCCTAAAAACATGATGTGAAGACGATCACAAGCATGACTTTGTAAAATAAAAACAAAGCCGAGTAAGTGTACATGTCAGGCAATGGCTTTAATTGTGTTGTATGCTTTATCAGATTGCAAGTGTGATTAATCACCAAGAGTGCCGGATTAAAAATTGGTGAAGGAAAGTTCAAAAGTGTGGCGTGTCCCGTCTCCAGCCACCTGGCAGGCTGTCTCGGCTACACTAGAGGCAGGCTGCTCAGTGTGTGTGCGACAGTTTTGCTGGGCACAGTAGCATTTCCTTCTAAACTGTTTTTCTTCTGCAGACTGCTGGGGAACCAGAGCAGCTGCAGAACATCAGACAGGCACCTTGGACTGGATCGTTTTGAGGTGAAGTCTTTCTTTCTTTTTTCTTTTAGTTTTATTTATTTATTTATTTTATTTATTTATTTATTTATTTTTGGTTTTTCGAGACAGGGTTTCTCTGTGTAGCTTTTGGAGCCTGTCCTGGAACTCACTCTGTACAGAGCCCAGGCTGGCCTCGAACTCACAGAGATCCACCTGCCTCTGCCTCCCAAGTGCTGGGATTAAAGGCGTCCGCCACCACCGCCCGGCGAAGTCTTTCTTTTTAAGGTTGAATGAAAAAAGGTAAATGGGGAGGCGACTCAAGGAGGACACTCTTCCGTGATGTATGATATGAAAATCAAGGCGAGAACGACCCTGAGCTCCTGTCTCACTGTCAAACATGGCCAGGGACCCAGGCAAAGTTCCACTCTGCCACCCTGCGGGGTCCTCTCTCAGTCCTTCCGGGACCTCAGCTCAGGCCAAACAGGGATTCATGGACTTGAATCAGAAGACAAGTTCAGGACTAACCGGAGTGATGCAGAATCGGGTATTTTAAAAGATACCTTTAACACAGTGGGTTTTTTTTTTTCTTTTTCTGCTGTTATTTTGTTTTTAAGACAGGGTCTCACTCCACAGCCATGGCTAGCCTGGAACTCGCTATGTAGACCAAACTGATGGAAAACTCACAGAGAGCTACTTCTTTAACATCTGCTCTAAGTACTATGATTAAGAGCCAGACTAAGACAGACAGACAGATGTACCCCCACAGCATGGGTGTGGGCTTATGTAAGAGACGTGTCATGTGGTTACAACAGTCATACATAAAATTTTGGTGGGTTTTGAAGCTATGAATTTCAAAGGGTGATCAAGGAACATGAGGGAGGTCACGGGATGGTTCCCAAGGAGCACATGACAGGATTATAGTTAATAAGGTAAAACTCGGGATCACGGGGGAGCTGGAAGGTAGGACGTCTTTACTGTAAACAAGGTTTAGTAGAATTGTTTCCCTCCAGGAAATTAGTGGGCAAAGGAAGGAAGCTCTACTCAAGGTCATACACAAATAGGCCTCAAGTCTGGGTCATTGGTATTTTAGTAATAAAATATGTATACATCAAAATGTGTATATGCAAGGGAATATCATCCTTACGTCAGCAACCTTCATAGCCAGCATTGTCAATCACGACGGAACTGTTGCTTCTCAGCAGGTGAGGAGCTTCAACCAGACTCTGGGGTGAGTGGTCCCTTCCCCTCCCATCCTCATCATCTTCCCCATCTTTCTATCCTGCCACAGGTTTTAGACTCCCCTGATGTGGAAAGAGGAGACGATAATTTGCAGGGAAGGGATTCTGCTGCCAGCTTGAACTTAACGTGTGTTCAATAACAGAGCAGACGATTTTTTGTCAAGGAAGGTATCAAACACTGTAGCGTAAGAAGAGGTCGATGGGGGTGTGGGGGGTGGGGGTGGCAAGGATACATAGACTGCTCTCTTCAATGTGTTAAAATGGTAGTGCTTTGACTTAAAAAAGAAATGCTGATGCATGCAGTCTGGGGTTCCCCTTGTGATGATTGGAGTGAATGTCTTCATCTACACCACTGTAGGGGGAGAATTATTACTACCTACAGAGGGTATATCCTTCCTCCTGGAATGGCCGTATGTTCCAGAGGAAACCACCATAGTATCCAATACCGGCCTTGGTGTTTGAAGGAAGGGTCGCAGGCTGGCCCATGCTCTCCTTGTAACCCAGGCTGTTCTTAAGCTCCATTCCTCCGGCCTCAGTTTCCCCAGTCTACCGCCATGCCTGGTCTGATGCTATCATTTCAAAGCAAAGGTAGCCTGTCCTAAAGTAATTGTTGCCTGAAGCACACCTCTCTGCCCTGTGCTCCCACAGGTTCACACCATTTAGTCCCAATTGCTGGAACCTTCTCTGCGGTTGCCCAGCAACCCTCAAGCCAAGGCGGTCCCTGTCCGCAATGCCTACCTATGGAGTCTAAGCCACTGCAGTGTCTTAGGCTTTGTTGGTGCGATTCTGCTGGCTTCCTCCGCCTTTGAGGGGACTGGGAACAACAGCCAGGGTCCCCGAGAGGACAGTGGGACAGTGGGGAGCTAAAGAGAGCGTCTTCTCAAACCAGATTTCCACCTCAACCAGCTTGGTTGGGTGCCTCTGAAATTCACTCAGGAACGAACTCGCCTCATTATCTTAAATCATACCTCCTTCTGAAAATGGCATCTGTAGGCTCGCCTGGGGAATGTGCGTTCCTCCAATTAGTGAAATGTTTACCTTTGAATTGCCAAGTGTTTTCTTCTTCCAGCCATTACATAACTGCCTCTATCTGAACCATCTGGGAAGACGCCCCACTTCCTCAAATCCGTAGTCTCCTGAACAGGAGGCGGGGCTTGTTATCAAAGTACGTTCTGCATGACGGGGGGCCTCCTGACACCGAATCTCTCCTTGGGAACCGCAGCTTAACTTCTCAGCGACACACATGTAAAGACGAGTTTAGGGCTCTGTTTGTGAAAAACCAGCTGAGCTTTGACCAATCGCTACAGCCAAGCCCCAGCCAATCACAGACTGCCAACTGATCAGGCCACTTTCCAAGGAGGCAAACGCCCAGCTGTCAGCGGTCCAGCTCCGCCATCCCTGTCCCGGGATGCTGTCCGCCCATGATGCCCTGGGGAGGTCTCTGAGCTCACCTGATTCTGACAGCCATCTGATACAAATCGCTCTTCACTCTCACTCGGCACCCAAACTTGTTAAATGTTGAACCCGTCAGCAGGTTTTCTCTGAAAACCTGTCCCAGCTCCAAGAGCTTTTCACTGTGGCTAGAGTCTCCTGGGTTCTCGGGTCCTTACTTAAGTTTCCCGGGTTTGCCCCTTGTTAATCCTTCGAAGGGGATTCCAGCTTCTTAACTTTGGATTGCTCTTGGTTCTAATAGCTCAAATGTCCACAAGGGAGGACATGCCACATGGTCAGTTCTGCCCAGGGCAATGTGGATACAGTTCCCAAGGATGAGGGGAGGGGAAAGCCTTGAACTAGGGAAACCAAGAGGTCTCCTCATAGCTGTCACCTGGGGTGGAATGCAGTTATCCCGTCTCAGATTCAAAGGAGATTATTAGAATTTTGGTACGCTGAGCTGGAAGAATCCTGGGACCGAGGAATGGAGAAACTATGCACCTGTTCGCATGAAGCTTCCTCAGCCGGGCTTTAGAATTTCAGTCTCTCGCAGATATTTATGCAGTCATAGAACTTTTACCATTCCAGGATCATGTCTAATGGATTTAAAAAAATTAGTTTAAATATAAATAAAGTCTCCTGAATCTAAAGAAAAGATCCCCTAATTAAATTGGTTTAATCATCCATATTATATCAATGTGTTGAAATATCCACACTGTACTCTGCAAACATGCCAGTTTTATGTGAGGTAGTAAAATGGTTTAAGAGATTAGGAAGTTTTTATGGCATTGCTTTATTTGTTGTGTGTGTGTATGACTATGTGGGGGTGTACTTGTGCTGTGGCTTTTGTGTCAAGGGCAAAGAGCATTGGGGAGCTGGTACTTTGCTTCCCGCCATGCATGTCCTGGAGACCGAACTCAGGTCATCAGGCTTGGTGGCAAGTACCTGTACCTGCTGAGCCATCCTGCTCTAAAACACTTAAAAATCATGATAAATGTTTAAAACAACAAAGAAACCGCAGCCCACAGCTGAAGTCCAGCTGAACTTGACCTCTTGACTTAATCCATACACTTTCTACCATATAAAGTCTGACATTTCTAATCATTTTTTTTTTTTTCATTCTAAACATCTTCGGGTTTGTAACTACACCAGAATTACAGGAGGGATGAAACTCTTCTGCTTGGTGCTCTAGGAAGGAGGGAAGTACAGTTGTGTTTGGCCACAGCTCCCCAGGCACCCACAAAGTTACCTCCCGAACTGTAGACCTGGGAACCTCACCCAGGTGCTGGCTGCTGTCCCAGGAGGAAGGGAAGGTCCTGAGTCTGGGTAAGATTACTTCCGTCTTAAGGGCTCCATCTCATGGCTGTCTCCTGGGAGTAACTGGTGTGCCTGTGGTTTCTATGAGATTTTTAGTTCCTTGTTCCTTCTCTGATAGTCGGTCTATGACCTTTTGTGAACTGGGCTTCTGTTTCCTGGATTCCTGATCACCCAGAGTAATGATGCATTGACCCTCAGACCCTTCTGGTCTCCTGCATGTCTCTGCCCTCTATTCTGAGCACTCATGCCTGGAGTGCCCAGTGTCCTGGTCCTCCCCTGGGCCTGTTCCTTATCTGGTTTCTCTATCAATCACAGCTTTCCCTGTCCTGCAAAAAGACTCTCAGCTGGAGCTATTCCCTACCCAGCCTGACTTTAAATACACCACCTTGAGGAACAAGCTTGACGGGTATGAGTGTAACACCTTATAGGGACAGGCTGGTAACAGTCACTCTGGAAAGCAGTGGATAAGCAGGTGGCTTCCATTTTCAGCTTCCCATGGTAGGGTTCTGGGGCTGGGGCTCTTTATGCTTCTTCTTCGATCAAGTGGAAAATGGTAATACCAATCAGTAGGCCAGAGCACGATTTCTTCAAGCTGAGGTCGACTTTGTCAAACCTTTTTTTAATAAATTCAAAAGCAAGTGGAATGTTACTTCAAACCTAAAAACAAAACAGAAATCACCAAGACTCAACAAGGATACGGAACAACTTACCGCGGAAGAGAACGGCAGTGGTGTGGCCCCTGGCGAACAGCTGGGCAGTTTCTTTCTTTTGTTTGTTTATTTATTTTATCATGGTTTTGTATGTGAAGAAGGGGTGGGGAGAGGGGGAGGGGAAGCAGGGGGGGGAGGGGAAGAAAAGAGAGAAAACTTGGTTTGAGGCAGGGTCTTTTTGTGTTCTCTGCTGTCTATGGCAGGCTAGCTGGCCTGTGAACTTCAAGGAATCCCCCTGTCTCTACCTTCCATCTCTCAACAGGAGCAACAGGATGAGAGAAGTGGAACACTGTGCCAGGCTCGTGTGAGGTCTGGGGATTCGAACCCAGGTCCTCATGTTCTCATGGCAAGTGCTCTACTCACTGGGCTGTCTCTCCAGCCTGCGAAGTTTCTTTTAAAGATAAAAATTCAGGTTTCAGGGTCTGTAAGATGGCTTTGGTGGGTAAAAGTATCTCCAGCCAAGCCTGATGACCTGAGCTGGATCCCTAGGACCTACAGGGTGTCAGGGGAAGACTGCCTCCCATAAACTGCCCTCCGACCTCCACTTGTGTGCTGTGGCACATGTACTTCACGCAGACACATAGCCACACACTAAATAAATAAGGAAATGAATACAATGCAAACGCCTTTTAAATTCACATTTCACAAAACGCAAGCATTCCCTCCTTAGGTGTTACCAAGAAAAATGAAAACTTATATTCACATAAAGCCCACATGTAAATATTACAAAAGCTGTTTGTTCCTAATTGGCAAGTGTTGGAGATAATCCAGATGGCCATGAGCAGGTGGACGGACAAACTGGAGAATGCATGCCGTGGAATACACACCCAGGAAACAAACAGAAGGGAACAATGGGGACACATAGCAGCTCCACAGGGGATTTATACTAAATAAGAAAATCAGACACCTAGCCCTTGCCGAGCTCCTGCGGGATGGCTTTATGTGATGTTATTGAGATAACAAAGTCGTTGAGGTGGGTAGCAGATTAGTGGTGGCCAAGCTCAGGAAAGATGGGGAAGGGGAAGAACGGGGAGTGACTGGAAGAGGTCGTACTAAGCAGATCCTTGTCGTGATGAAATGGTTTTGTACTGAACCATCCAGGAGGTAGTTTCCATATGATAAGATAGTAATGGCAGCTTCCTGCTTTTGACGTTCCTGCAGTTGGCTCAAGGGTTCAGGGACACTTGGTACTGTCTTTAAAAAAAAACAGATTTACTTATTTTATGTGCATAAATGTTTTGCCTGCTTGTATGTATGTATGTATACCGCATATGTGCCTAGGGCCCAAGGGAGCAAGAAGAGTTGACTGGATCCCTGAGACCTGGAGTTATGAAGGATTGTGAGCTGCTGTGTGTATTCTAGGGAGCACACTCAGGTCCTCTGCAAGAGCAGCAAATGCTCTTAGCAGCCGGGCCATCTCTGTAGCCCCTCACTTAGTGATGTCTCACTAACAGTCTATGACTCTTCTTACTTGGAAGTTTGTATATACATAATAGATAATATCCTGTTATATAGTCCACGGACTCATGTAAATACATGAGCACATGTATACATATACCATGGCGTGGATGAATCTCAAATATACTACACTAAGTGAAAGAAGTCACAGAAGGTTTCTGTGACAACGTCATTTGATAGTCTCTTTTTGAGACAGGGTCTGTTTACATAGCCCTGGCTGTCCTGGAACTCACTATGTAGACCAGGCTGGCCTCCAGCTCACAGAGATCCACCTGCCTCTGCCTCTGAGTGCTGAGATTAAAGGCATGCGCCACCACGCCCAGGCCACCACTTGATACTCTAGAAAGGGCAAAGTTTTGAGGACAAAAAAGAGGTCACAAGTGGGACAGCACCAATGTTTGGGATGGTGGAATGTTCTGGACCCTGACTGTGTTGTGGCTACAAGAATCTACACACAAGCTTAAACTCGGGGACTTGCACATTAAAAAGAGTGAATTTTACTAGACATAAATTTCAAAATGAATTTTAAAAAGTGAATTGTCGGTAATACACAGGGCACCACACTTCTATTACGAGAAACTACCACAATTATTTTTGTGTAACTTACATATTTGGTTTCACAATTTTAACATCCGTAGTGACACAGTCCGACTTTTAAAATTCCCTGCGACTGTCTGACCAAGAAAGTGGTCATTTTTACAGTTACATCTCTTTGTGGTTTTGGTTCAGTGATTGTTAATCCCACCAGGTGAGAATAAGACCATCACCACAATTTTGAGCCAAATGTGAAGCAAGCTTTAATTAAATAGTGGCCAGGATGAAGGACTCTGGCCAGGTCCATCCCTGGGTTCCCAGGAAGTGGAGAAGAGTCACCTTTTGCACAGACTTATAAAGGCAAACCCATAAGGCTACATATGTCCCACCAGGTCCAATCAGGGGCAAGCATACATCCTGACGTACTTCCTGCCTACGTACCTCCCACCTACATGTGACTAAGCACATCTGGTGTAGTTGAATCAAACAAACTTGTTTAGGGGAGCAAAAACAGGTGGCTTGCTATCTTCCATAAACAACAGCCTCCAACATCTCAGGGACTATATCTACCCTTGGGCAAGGCGCTTACAGGCCAGAGGCATTTTGTTTCATGCATCTCTTAGGCACAGTAATTAAAACTTAAAATGTAACTTTGGCTCTCACACAATACAAAAGGAGAAAATTCTGTGGCATGCTGGGGCAAGACAAGCAGTCTACCAAACTGAGTTGTGTCTTCAGGCACACATGAGAAACATGGATGGTGTTTGGCTTATTGACGGGCTACTCCAGTGACAGCTGGGTGGTTACCAAAGATGGACTGTGGATCCACACAACGGAAGTCTAAGTGGAGCATGGGAAAGCCAGCTTGAAACCCAAGTAGGTCTGGGAGGGAGGCGGAGAGCCTTGGGAACTGATTGCCTGAGTTGATCATTCCCTGCTGTTTTCTGGAGAAGGTGTTCAGGAGTCGTGTGTCCGTGTTTCCGCACCCCCCCCACCCCCCCACCCCCCGGCTCCAGGTACAGACTTTGTTTAACCGCGGACTCTTTAGGGGAGTTTGGGAATGTGGTGTGCTTGTTCTCCACCCTACCCCACCTCACTGCTAAGAGGCTTTTCGGCAGGTTCGTTTATTCACTCGTGCTATTGAGTGTTTCCTCACTAGATCACACCGACAGTGGAGCCTGTGAAATTGTACACTGAGAATGCTGGGAACAGGTGACCAACCTGGAATCTGCCAGGCCCCAGTCTCACACACGCCCAGGTCTGAAAGTGTAAACTCTGATGTTGAAATATTGTAATATACGGATTTTTCACGAGGAATAACCAGGGGTGCAAACACCCCACCAACTGAGCTACATCTTCAGCCCTTGATGAACTGTCTTTTGTGGTACTTTTCCCCCTTGAAGAATTTCAGAAGGCATCTTCTTCAGCATCACACATAGAAGCATTAAAAACTGAAGACTGTCTCATGTGCGGTGGGTGCCTTCTCCCAACGTGGGAATGCCTACTTCCTGCTTCCTCCCTGTGTCCATGTCAACAGCATTTGAGCTTTGTTCCCGTCTAAAACCCAAACTTCCGGACCCTGGACTCAAAGCCCTCAGAAGATGGAGACTGAAATCTTCTGTAACAAAATGTTTACCCCTTGGGTTTACTTACCAGTTTAGAGAGGCGTGGCTTGTGGATTCTTTGCAATTCATCTTTTAACTTTCACTAAATCAAGATAGACAGTGGAAGAGTCAAAGACTTTTTATAATGC